TACATTATTAACATCACTGTCTGCAAAAGCAGTTAATATGGAAGGAAGAAAACAGCAAAGAAGCTGTGGCTTTGTCTCCAATTCTACTTCTTAATCACCCATTCAACCAACAAATGCTGAGCACCTACTATGTGCCACACACTGTGCTGCCCTGAGAAGATGAGCAGAACATGGACTTCATCTCAACAGAGGTAAGCACACATAAACAGAGTGGCCAGCACCACAGTGGCCACCTGCACCATGCTTTCTGACAGCTCCGAGGAGAGAAGGACTTCAAGGGCGGCCTCCTGAAGGAGGTGGCAGCAGCCTAGCAATACGATCCTGGGCGGGGAAAGCAAAAGCAATAAACGTTTGGCACCACTGAGGAAATGGGAACGACACAGTAAATACGACCACCGTGTTGATATTACATTTCTGGGGTGTGACAGTGGCATAATGGTTATGTAAGAGAGGCTCCTTTGTCCCTAGGAGACACACACTGAACTATCTATGGGTGAGGAGTCATGATATCTTTAACTATATGCTTTCAAATGGTTCAGAAAAAGATGTGTGTGCATGTGTATACATATGTACTTAAAGGGGGGTGCGTGGAAGAGAACAAATGACAAAATGCTAATTAGCAAATCTAGGTATATGCACATTCATTATACTAGTCTTTTAATTTTTGAATATAGTACATTGGGCTTGAAAAGGAAAAGATAAATAGGTTTTAGTCAGATAAAGACAGAGGGGGCGCTCCAGGGAGAGGAGGCGGCCAGAGCAAAGGATTTGGGGGCCACAGCTGATATGCTCTGAACCTCTCCTGGCCCAGAACTGGCACTCGTATGTATCTGTCAAATGAATCAAATAGCTAACTAAACAGTGTCATTTATGCAGAGAACTGCAAGGAGCTCAGACTCACATGGGCATAAGGGTTGTGTTAGGAGTGAGAGCTGATTTGGCCATGGAGGCAGGGAGCCTGTCACAGAGACCTTTGTTTATCCTGCCTGGTCCCAGGACTTCATCCTGTGGTCAGAGGGACCCACGAGCAGGAGGCGATGCAGGACCACCTGGCAGTCAGTGGCCATGTGGAGTGATGGACCATAAGTACCAGTCAGGATGCCTCTGGCTTTCTTAAACACAAAGGCCTGACTCCAATGGGCTGAATTCAGCAGGAGACTTATCCAACACAGCTGCATGCTCTGAGGTGACCAGCAGCAGAAGTGGTTGATTCGTGGTTCATCAACGTCACTGAAGAATGGTTCCAACCCCTTTCCACTCCACCATTCTCTGGTCAGCTTTGCCCGCACACTGCCTTCCCTCATTTTCAGAAGACGGCTGCAGCAGTTCCCAGAGTGACGCAGGGCACAACGAAGACCACAGATGGGTGGGTGGTGGGGGGGGCTGTCTTTTCTTCACTCTCTTTCTTAGCAAGGAAGACTTTTCCAGAAAATTCCCAACAAATTTTGCCTCCCATCTCACTAGCCTAGGTTGGGTCATAAGCCCATCCCGAAATCATTCACTGTCAAGGAAATAAGACTACATTCTGGCTTAGAAGAATAATTTATACACAGGGGGAATTGACTACTATGAATCATCACTTGAAACACTCAGGAAGCTACTAGTCCTGGCAAAAGATGCTCTTAGCCTAAACCATGATAATGGTGGCAAGAGATGGAGATATGAGAAGAGATTCAGGACTTATTTAGGAAGTTGGGTTGGTAGAATTTGGTGGTGGATTGAATACAGGGAGAAGGGGAAGAAAGAAAGACGCCATCCTCCATAGTTCCAGCATGGGAGAATGAGTAGAAGCAAGTGTCACTAATTGGAAAAGGTATACAAGAGGCAGAGGTTTGGGAAAGATGGTTTGGGGAACACTCAGTCCGAAGTGCCTCGGGGCTTCAGGATAAAGCTGTTGGGCAGTCAGTGGAGCATGAGTCAAGCCACTCTCCCAGACAGGAGGTCCACACTCAGAGTGGTTCTTGGATGGGTTTTGGTCCACACCGACACTTTTGAACCAACATTTAATCACGGAAAGATTCTAAATAGGATTACATAATTTTGGCTTCTCTGGGAAAACTGAAAAATCTGGCAATGCTGGTCCTGAATTCCTACATACTAACAATTGGCTGGAGCCCGGCAATGGCCCTCCCCTTCAGCTAGAACCAGAAGTTCTCTGGGCTGCCACACTTTCTCCAACGTTTCATTCACTGACTTTACCTGCATGGCCCTGAAGGCATTTCCATCTGACGCCCTTGTTCAAGACCCTGCTTGGATCATGGGGGAAGAGGTCTGAGCTGCAGATTCTAAGCTGGTAGCCAGTGGTTACTTAGCTGGTGGTCAAAGCCCGGACTGGGTGCCGTCATCCAAAGAGAAAGAATGAGAAGTGGGTGGAGGAGGTCGCCCTGGAGCCATCAATGTTTTAGAAATGGAAGAAGAGAAAATTCATGCAGGAGAGAAGAGCAGAGGAACTAGGACAGAATGAGTGCACGTGAGGTCTCAGGAGCCGAGAAAGGAGAGTGTGGAGCTGGTGGCAGTGTCCCCTGTCCAGGCCCAACAAGTCCAGGGAGAGAAGGGTCCACATGAGACAGGGCTTTGGGGAGATAAGTCGCAGGTGCCCCCGGAGTCTAACTCCGTGGCGTGGTGAGGGCAGAGGCAGATGGCAATGGGCTGGGCAGAGGATGAGAGGTAAGTGGGCATGGACCGCTTGGGTGAGACAGGGAGGGAAAGGGCTGGATGGAAACTAGAGAGGCTGTGGGATCAAGGCACAGTCCCTTTGTAGGACCAGAGAGACTTGGACATCTTAATGGGAAAAAGAGTCGGTGGTGAGAGGGAAGCTATAGAAATGTAATATAGAAGGATGACCAATAGAACTTGGCCCAAAAGGAGTTGGTAGGCAAGGGGGCAAAAGGGTCAGGCATAGGTGGCTAGGGTCATGCCTGAAAGGAAAGACCCGGGGCTGGTGGGTAGGAAGTGATGATAAACCTGTAGGCAGATGAGTATGTTCAGAAATTTGAGAGCTGTTAACTGACCTTCACATGGAGAAGCTTAGTAACCTTCAAAGGGATGCTCTGAGGTGAACATCCTTTTCAATTTGGTGTACAGGCTGGGATGGAGTCACATAAGTAGCAATGGTGGAGGGCAGAGCTGGTTTTCAAGCCCTTGGAAGCTGAGTTCCTACCAGCAGAAAGAAAGCAGTGCATGCTGGGTAATCTTTCTCCCAGGGAAGCTGGGAGGCACCTGCTCTTAGTGGGGAGGGGACGCGTTACAGCACTCCCCTCGGCGACAACCTCAGCCTCTGGGCCATCTCTGGTGCAAGTCCTGGTCTGGATGAATGTATTGCCCCACCCCTATGTTTAAGTTGCCCCAGAGGCTCCTGCCATAACCAAGACAGCAACACATGTAACTCCACGCACGCAGGTAGGTCCCCTGGGGCTACAGAGTGCCACCTGTGACGGTAGCACCAGCCATCCAAAGACGACGAGCCTGTTTCCACCGGCTTGATGCTGCCCTCCATTCTGAAGCCGAGGGAGCTTTGGTGCCGCCTTCATCCAAGGCCCTCGGGCCTCCTTCAGAGGAGGTGTGCGCCGAAGCAGTTTCGGTGATTAGAAAGCTTTACACGGCATTTTTCTGAGGCCACTTTCCATCCTGGGCAGTCAGGCAGATTCTAAGACAATGAATTCCCCGGGCAGCCCGCTGTGGAAGTTGGGCTTCCTTCTGACAAACGAAACCTTTCCTGGCTCGGGCCGCAGCGCAGACGCAGGGCTGCCTGTGGCCCCAAGAGCAGAGCAGGTCTTGCTGGTCCAAGTTCAGTGATGTACAGTGGGGGCTCTGAGCTGCAGGAAGTTTCCACAAAAACACACTCGACATCCAGTTCCCTCGACGACCAATTCCAGATGTGATCTCCACATTCACTGTGACTTTTACCCTGAACTGTGTGTCGACAGAGGACAGAGGTGAGAGGTGACGCAGGGTGCCACCCATGAGTAATCCTCAAGCACTCCAGCAGGCAAAGGCCTCCCCTCTCTCTTTCCCCCCAGATTTTAATAAAATTTCCTAAGCATAACTATTTGAATTGTCTCTCTTCTTAGTCCTACTTATTTTATGATGGAATTGCTAAAAAGCAAAACAAACAAAACGCACTGAAAAAAAAAACACAACAATGTGGAAGGAGAAATAAGCCTGGGAAGTCACTGTCTTGACATTAGGCCTCCCTAGAATAATGAACATTTGGCTGATGTAAAAAATCGCCATGTCTTCTATCACTGGAAAAATCACCGACTCCTTCTAAAATCAGGGTCCGTAAAACAGACTCAGGGCTGGAAGGGACAGGTGTGCCCGCATCCCACCCCCTGCTTTGGGTATGTGGTCAGACCCAGCACGCGCTTCACTAGAGGGGACATGGAAACTTTTTCCAAGAACATGCTAAATTCACATCTGTCGAAACAACTCTGGGGTGCTGAGGCACAGACATGGAGGAGAGAACAGGCCGCCCCCCGGTTCCTGCCTGCACCAAGCAGCTGTGCCTCTTCTGGGTCCATGTAGCCATTATCCTTGATCGGCTGGCCCGCACGACAGGTGTGGTGCCACCCACACTGGGGACACGGCAGGCTGGGTCTGCAGGGAGCGCCCCTTCTCCTGGCCAGATACCCGGACAACTACAAGACACTGAGAGTAGAATATTGACGGGACTCCAAGCCCAAACTACCGTTAACTATGTATTAGTGGTAAGGGGGAGCCATTGGCAGCTGACCCCTGCATTACACGGGCTTCGCTGGTTTCTCACTGAGCCCAACAACCCTCTGAGGTCGGTGTGCTTATCTCTGTGCGCTGAGTGACCCCTCAGGTCACTCACCAAGGCAGTGAGGGCAGAGTCCGTATTTGAACACAGGTTGCGCCCATTCCGGGATCCCTTTGTACCAGGCAACATCCCAAGTGCCATTTCTGAAACAGCCTCTGCCGACTCCCTCAGCGGACTGTTACCTACTGGACTGCTTTTCAGGCCACCACCTTCATCTGGAGTGACTGTCGTTTGTGTGGCTGCCAGTTTTACAAGGCTGTAAACTGCAGTGGCAGGAATTGCTTTTATTTATGGATTATGTGTGTGTGTTTAATTTTTTAGACAAGGGGCACCTCTCCGGACGATGTGAGGCCAGGGCAGACATAGACAGAAACGAGAGAAGCCCTCAAGCACGCGGGGGCCCGGGGTGGAGGCCATTCTAGGCAGAGGGCCCAGCAGATCCAAAGGCCCGACATCGAGGGACGAGTCCACACCACAAACCCCCTTCCCATCACACCCCTGCTGCTCTGTCCCCTTTCCCTGCTCTGTCCTCAAACCACCTGTCACTAGTCGACACGACATTTATGCGTTTCTTTGATTTCTTTACACCTCACCTAGACGGTGAACTCAGTGAGAACGGGGGCTTCGCTGTCACCACCGCTGACTCTCAGAGCCTGGAGCAGGCCTGGCCCAGAGGGGGATCCCGCAGCTGTTTAGAAACGTACGGATACAGGGTGAGCACATTGTTTTTAAGTTTTATTTTTATTAAGCATTTACCACACACAACCTCTGAGCTAAGCACATTGTACGTATTGCTTCACTTAACCTTCATGCACACCCCAGTGTGGTGGGGGCACCCGGTGTGGTGGGGGCCTTATTCACATTCCACATGGGGTGAAACTGAGGTTGGGTGACTTTAGGTGACTTGGCTGGTAAGTAGTGGAGGTGGGATGTGAACTCAGTTCTCATAAAAAGCTGGTGTCTTTTAGCCAAAACATGATTCTCATCTTGCTCAGCCTGCAGTGACCACAACAGCGCGCACACATGAGCAACCCTGGACAAATATTCATTGGATTGAATTAAATAGAATCTGCACAGAAGAGGTGACACGTTCAATGAGAACGTAACACGAAATTCGGAGAGCAGGTCAGAAGATACCTCAGTCTGGTATGGAAGCTGAAAAAGAACCAACATAAAAACAGGAGGCCCGCCTTGGTCGGAAAGCTCAGCTGGCTGGAGCACCATCCCAACACAACAGGCTGCAGGCCAGATTCCTGGTCAGGGCACATGCAAGAAGCAACCAATAAATGCACAGATAAGTGGAACAACAAACTGATATCTCTCTCTTCTCCCTCTTGTCAATAAATACTTTTTTTTAATTTAAATTAAAAAAATATGAGGTCAACTGAATGTGTACATTTCCCCCAGAAATTTACCCCCATAAAAAATAATGGCTAAGTGCACGGCTCATGTGTCAAGGGCATTTCCTAAAGGCTCCTAGGCTGCCCGACGGACTGAATAAAAAACACTGATTTCAATTCAGCTAATGGCAGAAAAGGTCTGACCTCAGCAATTGTCTCATGATTGTGAGGAGGAAGTTTTTGGTGACTCAAAGGAATGCTGACAAGAGGGAAGTAGATAAGACAACCCTGCCAGAGTTTACCCAGGAGGCCCTGCGTAGGGTGGGCTGGAGAACTTGCTCTGTTGAAAGGTAAATGACAAAGATAAAGCTCCTAAGGTCTTGTCCAGAGGATGTTAGATAAAATACCCCGAAAGACTAGCTAATCCCCTCACTTTGATTTCATGCTAAAGTCAATCCAGTTCCTTGATACTGAGAATGCAATTCTCAGAATCATCATCACAGGGCTTCCCACAGGCGTCTCCATCCCCCCAGCTGTGTTGCTAAGTCAGCACTGAGGCTTAGGAGTCCGCCTCTGCAGCTGGTAGGTGAGCTCCGCGCCTGGTCAGTCCTGGAAGAATGGGAAGAAGGGTTCCTCGGGCAGTAAGTCTGCTGGCGACACCTGGGCTCAGATGCTGCCCGGCAGGGGCCCAGCCACAGTCAGATGGGCCCATGAGGACTCCTCTGTCTCACAGGTTGTCTCACACTTAGGTTGCAGCATTGCTACCTATGCAGATTCATCGATCCCAGACCATGGGTTTATCTGTCACTAAATAACACATCAGTCTCAGGGAGATTAAGGCTTTTCCCCACTTCTCTTATTTAAATTTACCTACAAGTTTTTTTTCTTCTTCTTCTTCTACCACAGATACGACTTCAGTTTTGCAACATCAGACCACCTTTCTCTACTCCCAGACACTAACTTTGGACAGATTAAAAGCCTTTGAGCCCTCATGCCTGTGTTCTGGTCGCTGCTTAGAGATCAGAGAGGCCTTGGGTTCTGCTGCGATTTACTGACTCCCAGAGGCCTTCATGGGAGCCCACTCATGGAATTCCCCCAACAAAACCTAAGCCGGGCAGGAAAACAGTCAGTCCCCACTTTAAAGAGGGAGCACGAGACTCCAGGAGGCTATACAAGTGACTTCAGGTGCAGGGCCCGGCGCTGGGGAAGGGGAAGCTGGCCTCAAAAACCCAGGCCTGCGGACCCCATGCCTGGAGGCCTTTCACTGCCCTGCACCACAGGAGCCAGCCTGGCCCTGTCGATGCTTAACCCTCTCGACACAGAGAAAAGCCAGGATGTGAACTGAACGCCAGAGTATCCACAAGCAAGAGTTCAAACCCTGGCCCTCCTACTTGTACAAACCATGGTACTTTGTACTAGTTACTTAACCTCAACTTCCTCAGTCATTGGATAGAAAGGTTAAAAAAAATTGCATCACACAATATTGAGCAATTTGGAAATTAATAATGAGCAATGTTTTTTAAACAGCGAACTTTATAACAAGTGACAATGACCTGGGCACATTCTTATGGGTGGCAGCTCCAGCTGGGCTTCTCTCTGGCTGAGCAGCTTTCCCCTGGACTCAGAGTGAGGAACTAGCTTTGCTGTTGGTTCAGTCAGAAGTGATCAGGCTCTGAGGCCTGTGCCCCATCTCCACCCCCCGCTGCTCACATTGCCTTCCAAAATGGTCATAGCAGGCGTCCTAAATGCCCAGCTATGAGAGTTATTCAGCCTCCCAGATCCTCAGCCTCTGGACTACTCTCACTGCAAACATATGTCCTTGCACTCGGCCCAACACAGACAAACAGAAGACAGAAACACGTTTCAGAGCCCTCACCGTTAAGGGGCATCGAGGTGCTGGGAACATGACCCCTCCTGACCCAGGCACTGGAAAGTGAGAGTCTTCACCTAGCTCCTCCCTTCCCTCAAACCAAGAGCAGCTCTCCAGACCTCACTGGGGCTGCGGTTTGGGTTCTAACCCTCCTGGCATCTTTTCTCCCACCGCAGCCGTGCCCAGCACCTTGGCCTGCTGATGCACTGAGGATAGGCTGCCCTCCTCCTTCCTTGGAAGCGTTTGAAAGGTAAATGCATTTGATGAATATGACAGACCTCTCCGGCTCTTCCTTCTGAGCAACTCCAACCTTGCACGGTGGCTGCCACTGTGAAACAAGATAGCCCCCCTTGGAGAAGTCTCACACACTGATCTGCGGGTGGCCATGGAGGACAGCCACTGCGGACACAGGTATTTCCAATGACTGCTTCCTCGGCTCAGAAAACAGTCCCTCTTTTGACAGAAGTATCTGGGAGTCATCCCTAAGGCCAGCTTTTTCCTCAGCCCCTATACTTACCCCATTCTACTTTCAAAATACATCTCCAACCTGTTCTCCTCTCTCCATCTCCACTGCTTGACCCTTTTCTAGGTCAAGCTATTGTCAACACTCCCCTAGACTCCTGATCAGCCTCCTCACTAGTCCACCCACTTCCCCTCCTGGACTTGGCGTACTGCCAGTGACCCTCTAAATCCACTTCCCTCTCCTCCAAAAGTTGGGAATATGGCAAACGGTTTAGAGTCCACATTTCCTAGACTCCCCTGCGGCTAGGATGACTGTGTGACCATTTCTTTGCCAATGAAAAGTGAATGGAAATAATTTGTACATATTTTGTAGCATTTGTTTAAAAGGAAATTGCTTGTCAGGATGTCCTCTCTTCTCCTCTGTCTGTGGGTTAGAATACAGACCTGGAGCTGAGCCAGCTCTGACCATCCAGGTAGACACAAGCAACCTGAGGGAAGGCAAACAATGGGAGGGAAGGAACCTCAGGTCCAGAATGGCCTTGTACAGTAAAGCTGCCTCCCAGATCTGAATCGCTCAGGCTGGTGTGATGAGAAGAGAATGGGGGATGGTAAGACTAGAAGCAGAGTTAACAGTGTCAAGGACGTGACAGACCAGAGACTAGAATGACTTTCACAAAAGTGGTAGGTAGCATTGGAAATGGTGAGGTGTGTACAGATTCTGGATATATTTTCAAAACACAACTAACTGAATTTCCTGGTAAATTCTACTGGGGGTTGTGAGACAAAGAAATAAAAGATTTTGGCCTGGAGGATGGAGTGGCCATGAACTGAGATGGAGAGAAACTGAAGGTGGAGTCTTCATGTAAAGAATGATCAACAATTAAGTTTTGAAAGGCTGTGGTAGATACATGCAATGGCGTATTACTCAGTCATGGAAAAGAATGGATCTTACCATTTGCGACAGCATGGATCGACCTAGAGAGTATCATGCTGAGTGAAATAAGTCTGACAAAGAAAGACAAGTACTGTATGATCTCACTTATATGTGGATATAAGTGAACAAACTAAAAGAACAAACAAAATAGAAACAGATTCATGGATATAGAGAACAGACTGACCATTATCAGAAGGGAGGGAGGCTGGGGGCTGGCTGAAAAAGGTGAAGGGGTTAAGAAGTACAAATTGGTAGTTACAGAACAGTCACAGGGATGTAGACTATAGCACAGGGAATACAGTCAATAATACTGTTACAACTACATAAGGTGTCAGATGGGTTCTTGAAATATCAGGGGCACCTTGTAAAGTATATCATTATCTAACCACTTTAATTGAAAGTAATATTGAATATAAATGAATTGAAAATAAAATTTAAAGAAAAAGAATTAAATTTTGGACACCAAGAGTACAGGTTATCAGAGCCTGAACTTAAGAGTCTAGACCAGCTGGATGTGCGTCCTGACTCTGATATTAACCATGTGACTTCAAGCGAGGTACCTAACTCCTCTCTTCCTCCACGTTCTCATTCACAAAATGAGGACTGGTGATGGCCACTATCTCATAGCACTGACGTAAGGCGGAAATGCACGCTTTCCAGACTTCCTTTTATGCTGTTTGATTCTTCAAAAAGGCCCAGAACTTTTGAGATCAGGAAGAAATCTTCCCTCATCTCCATGCCGGCTTATCCCATCTCAAATAACACTAAGCCCCCAAGATTTTGAAAGGAGAGATGTGGCTGTCTGCTGTGGTCTAGGGACAGCTGTAAGGAAGCTGTCAAAGCAGCTGGTACATGCATACAAGTAGAACATTTTCTTCACCTCAGATTCCTGGCCAAACAAGGCCTGCAGTTACAAGGGAAAGGTTTTAATTACAAGGCCACCTGTCCAGCCATCTGAAGCCAACTCAGCCTTTGGCTGGCTCCCTGTGGGCAATGGGGCATTTGGGGAACCGTGCTCGGAGTCCCTAATGTCTTTCACATTTCACAGTACTGTGTAATCAGGGAGGAAATTAACAGCCTTCAAAACCAGGCCCCATGTTTGCCCCCCCCCCTTCCCCATTTGTTATTACAGAGGGAGACTCACGCTGAGGGTTTGGGCCACAAAGAGCCCGAATTCCATCCTTTTCTTTCAGGATAAAGTGGCCCTGAACCCAAATGATCTAGGCTCTCCAAAGCTGACCACACCCTTCTAATTCTCCTTCCAAATGGAGATTAAGTGGCTTCTAAATTATTAATTGTCCATCGACATTTTTTAGATGAACAAATATGTGAAAGGTAAGCTGGCTCTGTTCAAATCTACAAAGTAGGCATCAAAATTAAAGGAAAGTCTTCTTAACATAAAAAATGAGAGAGAGAGAAAAGGGAGAAAAGAAAGTATAAATAATGAACCACTTATGGGTATCATTTTAAACCATATACTGACACATAAAAATTCAAATACTTTCCAACTTCAGCCTTTTTTTTTTAAAGGAATAGGCATAGGCCACAAAGAATGTGAACTCAAGTACAAAAG